GTTCAACGCAGACCCTTGGCAGTGAGATACATCCTGGCTCTTTTTAAAAATTTTGTCAGGGTGTCACTAAGTTGCCCAGGCTGGGTTTAAATTTGCGGTCCTCCTGCCTCAGCCGCTCAGAGTGCTGGGATTTCAGGCATGCACTACGATACCTGAATTTTTCTTTCCTCTTGTAAAAATTCACTCTGAATTTTTTAGTTTTAGATAAATAAATTTTAACTTCAGAAACAAAACTGTACACTCATTTCACTACTTCTCCAAGAATTTATCCTTTTTTAAAAAAATTCTTTTTTAAAATTTTGTGAGATAGGGTCTCCAAATGTAGTTCAGCCTGGCCTTGAACTCACTATGTAGTCCAGGCCCGCCTCGAACTCTGCGATCATACTGCCTCCGCCTCCCGAGGGTTAGGATTACAGGTGCGCGCCACCAAGCCCAGCTTAATTTTTTACTTGATATAATGTACATTTTTATGGGGTACAGTCTGGAAATTCAGTGTGCACATATAATGCATACTGGGTCAAATAAAGTGATTAGCATTTTTCTTATACTACACTTGATCTTAGCCAAAAGGCCGAGAAGCGATGCATTTTTCTTATACTTGAACATTTATAATGTGTTTGTGTCCTTCTAACTCCTCTCTCCTGGTTCTTTGTGAATATATAAGGAATTGTTGGAAACTCTAGCCACCGCTCCCGCGCGGAACTGACTCCTCCTCTCGGTCTCCACACCTGTAAACCAGCCTCTACTCCACCCTGGTCGGGGTGAGGTCAGCTCTTCCCCCAGTTCTGGGGCAATTGAGCCCAGGACTTAATCGCTGAGTCGCATCCCAGCCCTTTCCCCCTTTTTTTCTTGCTTTCTTTTATTATTCTCTGTGCGTGTGTGCGCGAGCGCGCAGGCGCATGCACGTGCGTGAGTGCGTGCCTCCGTGCGTGTGTGTAGATTGTGCCCAGGACCTTCACACTGATCTAAATCCCCAGCTCTTTTTTCTTCTGGGGTTTTTGTTCTTTTTTTAGTATTTCTTTTTCTTTTTCCTTTTTTTTTTTTTTACTCAGGACCTTGGGCTTGCGAGGCAGGCAGCGGAACCACTGAGCTAAATCCCCAGCCCCTCTTTCTTTTTCTTCTTTGTGTGTGTGTGATAATGACAATTAGACTAAGGACCTTCTCGCCGAGGTACTTCTGCAACCCTTTGCTTTCTTTGTTTTTTCATTCATACTATTTTGTGTGTGTGTGTGACACTGGAGATTGAGCCCAGGGCCTTCACATTGTTTTTTTCAATTTCTTTTCCTTTTTTTATTGGCGTGCGTGTGTGTGTGTGTGTGTGTGTGTGTGTGTGTGTGTGTGTGCACGCTGTAGAATGAACCCAGGACCTTCTTGCTGAGCTACAGCCCCAACCCTTTTATTCTGTTTTGGTTTTCTATCTTATTGTTTATTGATGTCCGGGGGGAGGGTAATGGAGATTGAACCAAGGGCCTTCTCACTGAGCTACTTTCACAGCCCTTATTTCCCTTTTTTGCATTTCTTTTCTTTTTCCCGTTTTTTTTTTTTTTTTTTTTTGGTGGTACTGGAGATTGAACCCAGAGCCTTCACACTGAGCTTCAATCCAGGTCCCTTTTTTTCTGTTTCCTTTTCTTTCTTCTGTTTTTATTCCACAGTGGTGGAAGAGATTGGGGATTGAACCCAGGACTTTCTCATGAGCTACATCCACAGCCCTTTTTTGCCTTTTCTTTTCTTTTTTTTTTTTTTTGAGGGGGGGGTGTCTTTGTTATTTTATTCATTCTTTTCCCTGTTTTTCTTTTTAATTTGTGGTACTAGAGACTGAATCCAAGGCTTTCACAATGAGCTACATCCTCTGTGTGTGTGTGTGTGTGTGTGTGTGTGTGTGTGTGTGTGTGATATTGGAGATCCTCTCACTGAGCTACATCCCCAGCCTGTTTATTCTTTTATTTTATTTTTTCTTTTTTATCATTTCTTTCTATTTCTTTGTGCATGTGTGTGTGTGTGTGTGTGTGTGTGTGTGTGTTAATGGAGACTGAACCAAGGACCTTCTCACTAAGCTACTTCCGCAGCCATTTTTTTTCAAATTTTTCTTTGCTTTCCTTGTTTTTTCATTCATTCTTTTCTTTTTTCTCTCCTTTTTTGAGAGGATACTGGATATTTTACCCAGAGACTTTGCTGTGAGCTACATTCTAGCTTGGTTTTTTCCCATTTTCTTCATTTTCTATTTTTATTCGTGTGTGTGTGTGTGTGTGTGTGTGTGTGTGTGTGTGTATTTACTGGAAATTGAACTCAGGCCCTTCGCACTGAGCTGTGTCTCCAGCAATTTTTTTCCTTTTTTTTTTTCATGGTGGTGGTGGTAGTGGTACCCAGGGCCTTCACACTGAGCTAAGTCTTCAGCCCTTCTTTTCTTATCTTTCCTTCTTTCTTTTATTAGTATGTGTGTGTGTGCACGCGCGTGTGTGTGTGTGTGTATGCACTATAGATTGAACCCAGGATGTTCTCACTGAGCTACATCTCTCCCCAGGATTTTATTCTCTTTTGGTTTTCTTTCTTTTTTATTTCTTAGGTTTTTGGGGCATAGGCTCTTGCTATGCAGTTCAGGCTGGCCTTGAACTCACTTCAGCCTCTGCCTTCTGCCTCCTGAGTGCTGGGCGTGGGCCACCATGCCCAGCTTTATTTTCTATTTTTGTGCGTGCGTGTGTGTGTGTGTGTATGCGCACGTGCACATGTGTGCTTCACTTAAAATTGAACCCAGGGTCTTCATACTGAACTATGTCCCCTGCATTTTTTCCCTTTTTCTTTTCTTATTCCCTTTTTTGATTTTTCCCTCTTTCTTTTATTATTGTGTGTGTGCCTGCATGTGTGTTTATGGTATCTGAAATTGAATCCAGGATCTTCTCACTGAGCTGTACTACTAGCCCCCTCTTTTTGTGTGTGTGTGTGCGTGTGTGTGTGGTGCTAGAGATTGAACCCAGGGCCTTTGCACTGAGCTACATCCCCAGCCACCACCACCCCTTTTTAAAAAAATTTTTCAGTCAGTATCTCACTAAGTCAGTTGCCCAGTCTGGGCTCAACTTTTTACCCTTCACAGGTGAGTGATAATAGTGATATTTGTCCTGTGCCTGGGCTATCCAATAAGTATCTTTATATTTCTCCTTCATTTGGGAGTTTTTTGTTTTGTTTTGGGTTGGTTTAGGGTGTTTTGTTTTGTTTTTGAGACAGGGTGTCACTGTATAGCCCATATGAGCCCATATGCAATCCTCCTGCCTCAGCCTCACAAATGCTGGGATTATAGGTATGACCACCATACCTAGATTTTCTGCATGGGTTTTTTTGGTTGGGTTTTTTTATTTTGTTTTTTTATTCCAAATGAGATTTGAACCCATGGCCTTAGCACTGAGCTGTATTCCCAGCTCTTTTTTTTTTTTTTTTTTGAGGCAGGGTCTCAGTAACTTTATTTATTTTTTATTTATTTATTTATTTGGTACTGGGGTTCGAACTGGGGTCCTTGTGCTTTCAAGGCAGGCAGCAGAACCACTGAGCTAAATCCTCAGCCCTGGGTCTCAGTAACTTTAATTTGAGATCCTTCTGCCTCAGCCTCCCAGAGTGCTGGAATTACAAGTGCCACCATACCTGGCTTTTTCTGTCAGTTTAAAACAAGCTCCAGTGAGCTACTAACAACAGCAGCTACCCTCTCTCAGAGACTCAAGGCTGCTTTGCTTATCCCCACAGAAAACTCGCCATTCCTAACTACTACTTCTCCCAGAGACCCCAGCCCCTTGTTCTCACCTGACTCCCCCTTCCCCCATGTCATTATTCAGGGTCAAATAAGCCCAAGATGGAAAAGAGTAGAACTTCATTCCAGGTGACTGGCCGTGTTCCGCCATCCCTCTGTCCTCCTCCCTCCACAGGACCTTTGGTCTTGTGGCTGGAGATAATCAGGCTATGTCCCTTCCAGATCAGACTGTTGCCAGGGTCATGAACAGAGGCAGCTCCTTTTCAAAGAGCCCCAGGGAAGATACTCTGAAATCAGAGAAGATATATAAGGTGAGATGGTCGGAAGGGACAGAGGAGGGCCGGGGATTTAGCTCAGTGGTTTTTCTGCCTACTGTGCAAAAGCAAGGACCCAAGCTCGATCCCTGGTACCAAAAAAAAAAAAAGAAGGGACAGAGGAGTGGCCAGGCGACAGTGCAAGGCAACTAGACTTCTCTGGATATAAGAACAGAGGCACTGGAGCTTCCCAGCCTCACTCTGTACTCCCCCAGCATCCAGAGAGATGACAGGTCTGCGACCTCATGCCACACTCAGTGGGTGGGGGCAGAGACTGAGCCCAGTCTGTTGTGGAAGACAGAAGGAGAGCAAACCACCACATTAAGCCACCTACTGAGTTCCCAGGGAGAACTAGTCCCTGTTCACCCTGATGTCTCAGGGTCACCCAAGGAGAATCATCTCTGCTTTCCAGGTCCACCACAGAGGTCCTGCAGCAGCAGAACTGGCCCCGGGTTGAATGGCACCCACTTCCCGCTGAGTGGCTGCCAGAATTGACTTTTCCTTCTTTTCTAGATCTTTGGGGAAATTTCCAAATACTTTTCTGAGAGCCAATGGGGAAAGCTGAGCTATTTGGACAAAATCACCTGTGTGTGTTTGAAAAGAAACTACAACACCATGTCTAATCTAGGCAATGGATTGTGGGTGTAGACAAGCCTGGGGACCCGTGGGCATCATTCAGGCCTCTCCCACACTACGGCTCCTTCTCGGGTGACACTGAGTGCCCCCTTGCTTCTTTATGTATGGGGATAAATGCCGAGCCTGTTTCTGGATGTCCTGTTCCTTTATGTCCCACGCAGGACTGAGGACAGGGACCAGCCACTGTGGGCTCAGATGTGTGTCCCTTGCATTTCTCTCTGGTGGCCATGGCTCTGTTAAGCCTTTGGATCCCTGCGGCCTCCCCACAGCCTGCCCTTCCCTCCTCCTCTCAGGAACAGACATTTTTCTTTTTCTAGGTCTCAGAGCCACTCTGCCGACTTTCATGCGCAACCATAAAGGGGCCAAGCCAACTTGTAAAGGCAATTCTGATGAAGCTTCCAGCCACGGGACTCAGGGTGAGTAGATGGGAGGAGTCTGCTTTTTGGTCCCACTGCTCCCTCACACACATCAGGCCTGGAGGAAGAAGAGTTGATGCAGAGGGATAAATCCAGAGGTCATTCATATATAAAACATGCAAAACAAGAATGTATATTTTATACATAATAAGTAAATGGCAAATATATACAAACCTGAGTGAGGCCAGACATGGTGGTGCACACCTGTATTCCCAGCCCTTGGGAGGCTGAGGCAGGAGGATCATGAATTTGAGGCCAGCCTGACCTGTATAGTGAGACATTGTTCTAAAAAAATAAAAATAAAAAAGCTTGAGTGACAACACCAAATTCAGCAAAGGGGCTATAAGTGGAGAGGGACAGCAGGAATTGGTGGGGGCTGTACAGCACTGTTGTTTGTATTTTTTTTTAATATATTGAATAAAGAAAGCAATCTGAAACACTCGTGGGATAATATTGAGATCCCACTGGACTTGATATTATTCCCCATCATTTTCTCCATATTGAAATATTTCTCTTTTTTAAAGAATATGTGGTTCTTGTTAAACTCTACTAAAAGAGTTTGACTGATGCTACCCTACACACACACATACACCAAGATTTTCCACTTTTCAGTGAGCAGAGAGATCATAAGGTAAAAAAGGAATGGATTCTAACCAGGTGTGGTGACACACACCTGTAATCCCAGCACTCCGGAAGATGAGGCAGGAGGATCACCACAAGTTTGAGGCCAGGTTCGACTACATAGTGAGACCCTGTCTCAAAAGGAGGGGGGCGGTTTCTAGAGTAGAGGTCCCAGTGCATCTGAGTAACATGTAGTCATCAGAAAGGGAAAGAGAGGTGTTTACTCGATGCTTTCCACTGATCAAAAAGCTGTAAGAAGATGGGGTCAGAGTGTCCAAACTCTCCAACAGATCAGTGACTTCACCGAACAGGCCAGATCCCTTGAGCTCTCACAGGCACTGTATGAGGTCTGAAAATCTAGGGCATTAGTCACTGCAATGGTTTTTTTGAGTTTTGGTTTTTTGTTTCCTTTGTTTTGTTTTGTTTTGTTTTTGTAGTACTGAAGATTGAACTCAGGGCCTACCTTTGCACTGAGGTATATCACTGCCCCCAGTTTTTCTTTTTTCTTTTTTTGATACTGAGGATTGAACCCAGGACCTTTACACTGAGCTACATCCCCAGCACCTTTTTTTTTTGAGTCAAGGACTCACTAAATCACTCAGTTGTCCAGGTTGGGCTTGATCTTTTAATCCTCCTGCCTCAGCCTCCCAGAGTGCTAGAATTACAGGTGTGCACCACCATGCCCAGCTTTTAGTCCACATTTTATAAATCATCAGAAGGAAACTTTTGAATGCTGCAAATAAATGCTTAAGCCCTTTCTAAAGATAACTCAGGAGCCACCCCTGCACTGTGGGTGCTCTTGGAACTGTGCTGCAGCATCCCCTAAGGCTACAGATGTTCTGACTTCTCACCCTCTTTCAGATGAACCTAAGAAGACGCAAAAACGTCCAAAGGTGAATGTCTCCCAAATCTAATGTACTGAAACACCTTTCCTCTCTTTAAATGTCAATATTGCTAAGAAGGAGAGTAGCAAAATGTCCTGGTCCTCACTGCCTCCTTCTTCATCTTTTTTTTCTTTCTTTCCTTTTCCTCACTTTCTTTTTCCCTTCCTTCCTTCCTTTTTTTGTGGCAGGGTTTGAACCCAGGGCCACATGCATGTCCAGCATGCACTCTCCCACTGAACCACACTGCCAGCCCCTCCTCAGCACTTTGTCACAATGCCAGATGGAGCCACCACAGTTTAACAATACTTAGCGACAGTCGTGACTGCCAATACTTTATTTTCACAGTAATGCCTGATATTATTTTAAGCAACTCACATGGATTAATTTATTTAATTGTTAAAGAAACCTCTATGGGCCGGGGATTTAGCTCAGTGGTGCCGCCACCTGCCTAACAAGCGCAAGGTCCCGAGTTCGTTCCCCGGTAGCAAAAAAAAAAAAAGAAAGAAGCCTCTATGGCATTGTGTCTATTATTATCTCCAAATAATAATGAAGATATATTGTTTGCAATGCCAGGGTTGGACCCTAGGGCCTCATGCATGCCAGGAAAGTACTCAACCCCTGAGCTACATTCTGGCCCCCTCTTTTCATGTTTACATTTACTCTCTCACTGGCTATCCACGAGCTTACGTGTGACCCCCCTTTACTTTATAGAAGCCCTTCCTTTCACGGATGTGTAGAATGCTTTTGTTTCCCAAATCTTCTGATACCACATTCTCAATTATATGGATACGTTTTCTGTTTGCAATATCAGACTGGATACAACATGGAGTCAGATCCTAGTCCTGGGAATACCTTTCAGTTAAGCCATTCTCTTCTTTTCAAACCTCCCAAGTTTCTCAAAATTTGGGTACGCATAATACTGTGATCTCCCAGAGGTGATGAGAACATTAATTAAGGTAAACCATGCAGGCCGGGCGTGGTGGCACACGCCTGTGATCCCAGCACTCAGGAGGCTGAGGCAGGAAGATCACCACAAGTTCGAGGCCAGCCCGGGCTACTTAGTGAGTTCAAGGCCAGCCTGAACTACATAGTGAGACCTTGTCTGTCTGTTTGTTTGTTTGTTTCTATATGTGCTGCCTATAGTGAGCACTATTTGTTTGGGTTTTGTTTTTGTTTTGTTTTTTTTGGTACCGGGGATCGAACTCTCGGGTCCTTGCACTTGCACAGCAGGTGGCGAAACGACTGAGCTAAATCCCCGGCCCTAGTGAGACCTTGTCTCAAAAAAAAAAGAAAAAGAAAAAGAAAAGATAAAGCATGCAAAGACACTCTATAGGTTCTAAAGTACTAAAAAAAAAGTCATTGATACTGCTTATATGTGGCCTTGATATTAAAAAGAAGTCCAAGAAGCCAGCAAAGAAAAGGAATGATCCGAAGACAGTGGCCGGAGCACCTGACAAAGAACAGGCTGGGAGAACGAAGGGCCCCCGGGGAGAAGCAAGCACCTCTGGGAAGAAGCATACGAAGATATCAGGTGAGAGGTGACAGCTCGGGAACAAGCCCTTGGGCTTCCCTGGCTGTGTCGGGGTGTGGTCTGGGAATGTGGCCTGGTCCCAGGACCCAAACTGGGTTGAGGACCTCACCCAGCACCAGCTGAGACATTAGAACCTGACTTCAGAATCACAGGCTTGGGTTGTCACACATCTAAAAGCAACCAGGCTTTGGGCACATCTTCTAAATTTTCCAAGCTGGATATGATGGTGCATGGCTGTAAACCCAGCCCTCTTGGAAGCTGAGGCAAAAGGGCTGTGAACTCAAGCCCAGCCTGGGTAACTTAGTGGCTTTGTGAGGCCCTGTCTCAATTTTTTTTTTTTTTTTGGTACCGGGGATCGAACTTGCATCCTTGCACTTGGGCAGCAGGCGGCAAAACCACTGAGCTAAATCCCCAGCCCCCCTGTCTCAAATTTAAAATTAAAAAAAAAGATTTAAATGGCCTGGAGTTGTAGCTCAGTGCAAAGGCTCTGGGTTACATCCTCAGCATCATAAATAAAATAAATTTTGTGTGGTCCAGATTCTTAGTCTGTAAAACGGAATTTAAAAATGATAGTTCATAAATTGGTTGGAAATAGCACCTTTTGAATCTAGAGGCCTCACAACCTGAAAGTTGCTCAGATAATGATCCCACATTATAACCTGGGAGCATGTCTCACTTAGCTCAGTGCCTGGCACACAGTGTGCCCTTCACAGATGCTTGCTGAACAACACTAGGTAAGAGGGGATGTTCTGGGGAGAGAAGAGTTTGGGAATTTAAGCCTAACAACGGGAGGGCCCAGAGGCTCACACTTAAACTGACATTTGATCTCTACTGGTGGGGGTCTAAAATCTCAGCCTCTGGAAGCCCTGAGACATGAAAACCAGAGCACATGGAAAGCCTTCAGGGACTAGGAGGGGCAAGGCATCTCCTTTTCTGACAAAACAGGACCTCACACTCCCCATGCCCCCAACCATCACTTACCAGCCCTTCTCCATCATAGGTTTCAGGAAGAGAAAGGTGAGTGTCTGGAGCAAACAGCTGCGTGAATGGAAGAATCTCATGGTGTATGAAGAGATCAGCGACCCCGAGGAAGAAGACAACTGAGTCTGTAAGTGACCCTGACACAGCTCCCTCACCACTGCAAATATGCTGTTCTATTATGTTCCTGTGACCCTGCCCATTCCTGGTTCCTCCAAATCATCTGCTTCTCCTAGTCCTGAGAGGTGCAACACAGAGGCTAAATGAGATTTCCCATGCTTTTTCTACTCCCTACCCTGAATGCTGTGGGCTCTCCAACCCCAGGTCGCTCCTGGGGCACCTACACCTTTACTGTAGCCCAGGAATGCACAGGCCAAGTGGGGGAGTCACTGCGGCCCAGCAGAGGGCTTTCTCAGAAGAGCAGGGGTCCTAGGGTCAGAGAGAATGGGCCCTTATAGCTCTGCAGATCAGGGAAGGGACTGGCAACCGAGTCTCTGGGCAGTGGGAACTCACTGTCACTTGTGTTCCTTCTCTCTCCTCACCTCAGCCTCAGCGATGTCTGTGATGAGAAGAAAACCTGGTGGCCTTTGCAATCAGCAATCATGGACATGGCTGGTATTGTATGATTTTCTCTATGCTACCCATCCCTTGCTACAGATGTGACTACCGAGGGCAGTTCTAGGTGCTTAATTCCAGATTTTTTCTGCATTTACACATGCACATGGGGTACCACTGTGAGCACCTGTCATCTATCTGCTTTGCTCACTAAACTAAGGTGAATGGAGAAGTCCTGGCTTTCATTTACCTTGTATCAGTTACTGACAATAAACATTTGCAACATTTCCCAGTTGTTGAATTTTCTTTTCTGGGGGGAGGGTGAGACAGGGTCTCGCTATGTAGTCCAAGCTGGCCTTGAACTCACTATGTAGCCCAGGCTAGCCTTAAACTCATGATATCCTCCTGCCTCAGCCTCCCAAGTGCTAGGATTACAGTCATGCACCACCATGCCTGGTGGATCCTCTTATTCTTGTTCACACAAAGGTATGCATATGTGTGAGGAGGTTTTTTGTTTTTAGGACAGATTCTTAAAAGCACATTTGCTGCATCAAAGGAGTCATTCAACATCTAATGAGCAGATGCTGGGTAGAGCGCTGTTCTGGGTGCGCTCCAAGTTCCTAGCATGGAACTTAGTGTTCCATTGGAGGACATTCCCCTCTTTGATGTGTATAAACCCTGTATGCCCCAGTCCTGGGGTGTGATCCTTTGGGAGTGTATGGGAGGAGGCAAGTGAAGCCATCAACTGGGGAACATGAAGGAATTAGGAGAGAGCTCCACCGTGGCCATGTGGTGGACACAGAGAGAGAGGCCCCCTGGTCTCAAAGCAGGAGGGCAACAGATGGAAAAGCCCCCTGGACAAAGGCAAGAGACTGTCCATGAAGGGTTACCCAGCCTAGGGCTGGAGTGTGGGATGGGGAGATGGGAAAGGCACCCCTCCCCCAGCTAGTCCATGCAGGGTGTATGGAGACCACTCTGGGGAAGGGAAGGGGGAGTCTACTTTGGAACAAACTATTTTGTGTTGGGGGGCATTAAAACCCCCAATTGTGTGCTGGAGTGTGGCAAGCAGAATGCATGCTTAGCACGATTGAGGCCCTGGGTTCAAGACCCAGTACCACAGAAAGAAGCCACCAACATACATGCAACACCAGCCCCAGATGAATGCAGGATTGGAGCTGTTTCACCTCGGCCTCTCAGCTCTCAAACGCCCCCGGGAGGCAGACACCGTCATCACTATGCCGCGCCGCCTCGCAGGTGTGAGATGGAAACCCAGACAGGTGTTAGGTGTCTTTCCCAAGCCCCTCTGGCTAGCGTGTGCAGGAGGGCTGGGCTCAGAAGCCACCGTGGCTTCACAGACACTAAGGGGAGGAGGAATGGAATGTGCCCCGGTTCTGCTCCAAATCTCAGGGTAGAGGATGTCGGGCCATTTTCTCAAGACCAGGAGCCCTCGGGGGTAGGCGCAGGGGAATGCTTAGCCGAGTAAGCGGGCCGCCTGTTTCTCGGCTCGCTGATTGGCTGGACCCGCCACGCGGAGCGGAGGGACGGTGCTTGTAGCACGCGGATGGAGTGACCGGCCATGGTTCTCAGCCCAGCTAGGAATGAGAACGTGTGGGCTCTCGGCTTGCTGCTGTGGTCTGTGGCCAAGCGCACCATGTTTTAAGGACCCGCCCGCCGCTAGTGGCGGCCCAAGGACTCTCTGCGACACCTGCGCACGCGGGAGAAGCATGGCACGTCCTGGGAGCCCAGGAGCCTGAACACCGTGTACCTGCAGGTAGTGGCGGCCGGCGACTGGGATGCTGGCACCGCACTCTACGTCTTCTCAGAGCACAACTGGTATCTCTTCAACTGTGGAGAAGGCATCCAGCGACTCATGCAAGAACACAAACTGAAGGTTACTCGCTTGGACAGCATATTCCTGACACGAATGCACTGGTGTAATGTTGGGGGATTGTGTGAAATGATTCTTACTTTAAAAGAAACTGAGGTTCCAAAGTGTGCACTTTCTGGACCTTCAAAACTGGAAAAGTACTTGGAAGCAATCAAAATAGTTTCTGGTCCATTGAAAGAAATAGACCTGGCTGTGCGGCCCCACTCTGCACCAGAATACAAAGGTGAGACCATGACAGTTCACCAGGTCCCCATATACAGCGAATGGGGTTGTGGCGAGCACCAGCCTTGCAGAGCCGGGAAAGGTCCCTCCACAGGCTCAGCCCAGAACAGCCTTTGGACTCTGGATCAGCTGAAAATGAGCAGCACCTTCTAGATGGCAATGGTATAAACAAACCCCGCTGGAAAGGTGTTAGCCAGAAAAGAAATGGCAGGACCTTTTCTTGGTTGTTGCTTTTGTATGTAAGCTACACTTGAAAAAAGAAAACTTCTTGGTGCTCAAAGCAAAGGAAATGGGCCTCCCAGCTGGGCCGGCTGCCATCACACCCATCATTACTGCTGTCAAGGATGGGAAGAATGTCACTTATGAAGGAAGAGAGATTTTGGCTGAAGAGCTCTGCATGCCCCCTGGATCCTGGTCTTGCATTTATTGTGATAAAATGTCCAGATGAAGAATTCATCCAGCCCATTTGGGACAACACCATCTTTAAGAGGTACCAAGGAGAGACTGATGGCCCCATGGCCGTGGTGGTTCACATGGCCCCAGAATCTGTGCTTATGGACAGCAGGTACGAACAGTGGATGGAGAGGTTTGGGCCTGACACCCAGCACTTGATCCTGAATGAGAACTGTGCATCAGTCCACAACCTTTGAAGCTGCAAGATTCAAATGCAGCTCAACCTCATCCACTCAGACATCTTTCCCTTGCTCACCAGGTTCCACAGGAAGGAGGAAGGCCTGGAACTCAGTGTGCCCACTGTCCGGGGTGACTGCCTCCTCAAGTACCAGCTCCATCCCAGGAGGGAGTGGCAGAGGGATGCCATTATTACTTGCAACCCTGATGAATTCATAGCTGAGCCCAGGAGCTCCCCAATTTGCAGGAGAGTGTGCAGAAGTATAGGAAGAGTGTACAGGATGGCCCAGCCCCCACAGAGGAAAAGGCCAGCATCCAGAAATCGTCTTCCTTGGAACAGGATCTTCCATCCCTATGAAGATTTGGAATGTCGGTGCCACACTCATCAACATAAGCTCTGATAAGTCTCTGCTCCTGGACTGTGGTGAAGACACATTTGGGCAGCTGTACCATCATTATGGAGATCAAGCAGACTTGGTCCTGGGCACCCTTGCCTCTGTGTTTGTATCCCACCTCCACACAGACCACCACACAGGTTTGCTGACTATTCTACTGCAGAGAGAGCATGCTTTAGCATCTCTGGGAAAGCCATTCCACCGTTTGCTGGTGGTAGCCCCCACCCAGCTCAGGCCATGGCTGCAGCAATACCACAACCAGTGCCAGGAGGTTCCACAACACATTAGTATGATTTCTGCCAAATACCTTCAGAAAGGGGTGGAGGTCTCTGATCCTACTATTGAAAGTCTGATCAGTTCACTGTTAGAAACATGACTTGAAAGAGTTTCAGACCTGCCTGGTCCAGCACTGCAAGCATGCTTTTGGCTGTGCACTGATGCACACATCTGGCTGGAAAGTGGTCTACTCGGGGGATACCATGCTCTGTGAGGCTCTGGTCCAGATGGGGAAAGATGCCACCCTCCTGATCCATGAAGCCACTCTGGAGGACAGCTTGGAGGAGGAAGCAGTGGAGAAGACACACAGCACCACCTCCTGAGCTATTGGTGTGGGGATATGCATGAATTCTGGCTTTATCATGCTGAACCACTTCAGCCAGCATTATGCCAAGATCCCCCTCTTCAGCCCTGACTTTACTGACAAAGTTGGAATCACCTTCGACCACATGAAGTTCTGCTTTGGAGACTTTCCAACAGTGCCCAAGCTTATCGCTCCCCGCTCGAAGGCCCTGTTTGCTGAGGACATTAAGGAGATGGTGGAGCACAAGGAGAAGCGAATGCTTCCGCTGGTGCATGTGGCCCTCTTCTCTGAGCAGCTGGCTGACAGCCCAAAAGACAGGGAGCCCTTGAAGAAGTGGGCCCAAGTGGAGGAGAAGCCACACACCCCACAGAGCAGGAAGGCCAGAGCCTAGTGAAGGTCTGGACCCACCCTGAACTCTGAAGGCTGTGTCTTCTGCCCTCCACCCACATCTGTGCTCCTCATCCTCGTGGGAGCCAGAGAACATGATCCAGCCAGGAGGCCACTCATGGTAGGAGGGTGGAGCCATGCTGTGTCCTGGATTCTGGTAAGCACCAGTGTTCAGACACCTCCCATGACAGGTGCCTGGCACTCGGCAAGACAGAAGGCTCCTTAACGGAAAAAGGCTGATAGAACCATAATTCCAATGCAAGTTGGTTCTTAGTCACATGGAAACACAGGGGAGGCACCTTTTGCCTGGTCCACCAAAGTGGTTTCCTCTGCACCTTAGAGATAAGCCAAGTTACAGGGAATATTGGGTCTAAGTGTTCCAGACTCAAGGACTAGTATTTCCAAAGAATTGGCTGCAATAAAGATTGAGTTTGGGGAAAATAAAAAGGGTAGAGGCAGGGAGGAAGAAGCAGAAGTCCTGAAGGAAGCAGGAAAAAAGAGCACATGGGTGTGCAGGGTGAGCAAAGTGGCCAAGGGCACCCAGCCACCAGAGAGAGAGAGCACGCAGGAAGGAGGTTGTGATAGGTCAACTGAGTCCTGGGAGAGGGTCCCCAGAACTGTGATCATGCCCTGCCTGGCACTGCAGGGATCGGTGGGTGCTGCCCAGCTCAGCAAGGACATGGCTCTACCTATGGTTCAGAGGAAAACAAATTCCATCTTACTCCAATATAGGTGTGTGTGTGTGTGTGTGTGTGTGTGTGTGTGTGTGTGTGTATTGGGGGTTGAACCAAGGACCTTCACACTAAGCTACATCTCCAGGCTTTTTAATACTTTTGTATTTTGAAACATGGTCTCACTAAATTGCTAAGTTGTCCAGGCTGAGCTCAAACTTGAAATCCTCCTGCTTCAGCCTCCCAGAGTGCTGAGATTATAGATTTGCATCTCCATGCCTGGCTTCTGCAAAGATTTGTGCATGTGTGTGTGTGTGTGTGTGTGTGTGTGTGTGTGTGTGTGTGGTGCTAAGGATTGAACCCAGGGAGTGCTGAGCTATATCTCAAGCCCTTGTTTGTTTGTTGTGGTACTAAGTATCAAACACAGGGACGCTCTACCACTGACTTATATCCCCAGCCCTTTTTATTTTTTGTTTTAAGACAGAATCTTACAAAGTAGCCCA